GCTACGATTCAATTACTACTGAAGGAGGTCAAAAAGTTGCAGACTTGTTTCCCAGATTGTTGGAGCATTTAGGATCATCTTTAGTAGATTTGTTCTTCGTGCCTGATAAAGAAGGATTGAGTTGGGTTGAGTTTGCTAGAGGTTATGTTAAATGTTGTGGAAGAATGTCGGCTTCTATGTCTTTCAACACTTTGTTGAGAGTTTACTATGTGACAGCTAAAAATGCAGGCTTTTCTCCAAAGCTTGAGTTTGAATCTGATGAAGCTGATTGTAAGATTAACGGGTCGATTTCGATTAGAGAATTGCTTGTGTTTCTGTGGATTTGTTGGACAATGTCGTGGGATGGTCGAAGTTCTAAAGTCGCTGAAATGAAGGGTTGTTTGTTTCTTCCGGATATAAGTCATTTGATTCTATCAGCAGTTGTTTCTTGCATTGATTCTGAATCTGGAAAGAGTTTGGATGTTTGGGAGACTGATGTTTCTGGATTAGAACTCGAACTTCCTATCGGGAAATTCTTAACGTGGGCGTTTATGACAGTTCCTAGCCTCACTGAGTGCCTTTCTCACTTTTGTAATTCGAGACTTCAAAATTTGACAAGTGTTGAGGTATTCTTTTTTACTTGCTGCTTTGCATTTAACCTGAGAAGTCGTTTCTTTAAAGAGTCTTTCTTAGTACAATTGTTTGTGTGGTTACGTAGGAAATTGTATTGAAGTTTTAAAAGAAAGCTGAGACATGTGAAGTTTGAATTTATGAATTGCAGGATGGTTCTGGACCTTCGAAGTCCACTGCTGTAGATGATTCGGCGTCCAAGACAAGCGAAAACACCCTTCTAACATGTGGAAGGGCATGGGCGATTTCTTTGACGAGCAAAAGTATACTAAGCGAGGAGATTTTGAGTTCATGCTTTCCCTGCAATAGCAATGAAACCAATGAACATCTTCTATACCGGTATCCTACTGCCTTACTTCTGGACAACTTGTTGACTCATCTTTCAAGTGTTGAATTTGATTTAAAATTGCCATTCATGTGTACATTTGTTTGTTTGTTGAACATTCTGTCTCTACTGTGTGTTTAAGTTATGTTCATATCTCTTTCAGCTCATACCATCACGGGAAAGGCATGAATCGACTGTGGTCCAACGTTGAAGGGTATCATGCTCCGATCCTAGTGATAATTTCTGCAAGCTGTGAAGTCGAACATGAGGGTACTTCAAGCGAGAGGAAGTGGGTTATTGGTGCAATCTTGCAGCATGGTTTTGAAAACAGAGACGCGTTTTATGGAAGCTCTGGGAATTTGTTCTCCATTAGTCCAGTCTTTCACGCATTCTCATCTTCTGGTATTGCACAAAATTGAATTTTTTTTCGGCATACTCGCTTTTCCATTAGTTCAGTCTTTCATACTAATGTGTTAATAATCTTCAGGCAAGGAGAAAAACTTTGCGTATAGCCATCTGCATCCCTCTGGTGGAGTCTACGACGCACACCCCAAGCCTGTTGGAATTGGTTTCGGGGGAACACTTGGAAACGAGAGAATTTTCATTGATGAAGACTTTGCTAAAATCACAGTCCGTCATCATGCAGTTGATAAAACTTACCAGTCAGGCTCTCTTTTCCCAAACCAGGTAAAGCCGAAACATCTAGATTCAAGAAAAACCAAATCACAATAAAGAACAAAATGAGTATATATATGTGTTTATGCTTGTCAAATTTTGTGCTCTTGAATCTTATTATAACATCTCTTGTTATACATTATTGCTGCAGGGTTATTTACCAGTAGAGGCTTTGGTTTTAGATATTGAAGCATGGGGGTTAGGTGGAAATAAGGCTAGGGAAATTCAACAAGCATACCAGAAAAGAGAAGAGCTTTTCACTAACCAACGTCGAAAGGTAAACAAAAAACACCAAAAGATCATAACATCTATTATGCAATGCACTAAGGTTTTCAAATTTGGCACCTTTGTTTTATCTGCAGATCGACTTGAAAACATTTACGAACTGGGAAGATTCACCTGAGAAAATGATGATGGATATGATGGGTAATCCTAATGCTCCTAGAAAGGAAGATAGGTAATGAACGAATGAAGAACGAGGATTTGTTTGATATATATACACACATACGTTTTATATTCGAGATTTTGTCTGTAAACTATATAAGCAAGAAACTCTTCTGCTATTTATGTACTCGTGGATTCAATGTGTAAGTTATGTATACTATCGTTGCCCAAACTCGAACCGGCCTGTTGATTATATCTGCCCATAAAAATTGGTTTTTATTCCCAGAGCTTCCATAACAATGTCATAGTCCTGGTTTCTGACCAAAAAGTTCATCCATTGTCGGTTCACATAAACAAGAAAACAATACAAATCTATCTGTCCAAACCCGATACCCTAAGCTTGAGACACATATCTATCTTACATTCCCAAAAGCAAGATTTGTCAATTCATTGAGAATACACCAAGAGATATAGATGGTAGATGGCGCAGCATTACTTCTTGTCTTCTGCTTTTCTCGGCTGCAAAACACCATTAAAACCAAACACAAAGGTCAGTAACATACCCGAAAACACTACGCTTGAAGAAAATGCTCGAAAATGTTAATGATTTAGACATGTTTTTGCTTGCAGACCATTCATGTCAGCGTAAATTTCATATTCTGTTTCCAAAGATTTCTCCTTTCTACACTCAAACGAGCAAATGAAAATGTACAATCACAGACCTTAACACCAAGAGCCTCTTGGAGAAGTTCTTCATCAGGGATAATCACAGGCCATTGTTCACCCGCTTCACGAAACATTTGCTCTGTCTCAAGATACTGACCTTTATCAAGAATCATCTTTCTAATCGACTGAGCCGATGTTTCAGCTGCATCAAAAGCTTCCTCAACACCATTAACAAACGTGACTGTGATCTGCGGCGGCTGTTCATCAGTTCTACGTTTCACCAAAACTTGACAATTCGGATTCGACTCTTTGGCCTTCCTTGCATTGCATTGAGCTAAGAATTCAACACAAGAAGCAAGTCTTGGATCCAATGTGTTGTACTCAACTCTTACTTTTGATAGAAACTTCAACATCTTCTTTCGATATCAAACACTTGACCTAAATCAGCCATTATACAGATCATTTTAGAGAATTTCCAAAAACCCTAATCTTTCAAATTTCGCATTAGATTCATGAAAAACAGAGAACGATTGCGAATCTTCTATAGAAATTTGATATTCAGATAACAACAACATCGTAACTTCCAGATTCAAGAGATATATAGATCGCATCGAAAAATGATTCATAAAATGCATTTTCAACGGAAGGAAAGGATTAGAATTTTACCGGTCGACGGAAGCTCTCCGGTGACGATTGTCGGCGAGATTTGGGAAGTGAAGAAGAGAACGTAGGAGAAGACTGAAGAAAGGGTTTCTGCTAAATGACGATATTACCCTTTCTCTTAATTCCCTTTGGTTCGGTTCGGTTTGTGATAAGCCAAATGCAATCATAATCCTTTTCTTACCAGAATTGTCGATTTCCTGGTTTATAAATGACGTACCGATCGTAGGTTGAATTGAAATGTTAAAACATTTTGTAGTAAATTTTATACACTAGCTAATTTCAGAATTTTTATTTTGTAGTAGATTTTGTATTGATTTAGGTATCAACACTTCAGCATTGGTAAACCACCTCCGGTTAAAATACTCAAAATCATATAGAAGAAGAGATTGAGAAACTAAGAGTAAGGGGACTTTATATCTTGACATGGATCTAGCTTTCTGGCGAAATAAAGAAGGCAATTTCAAACCGTGATTTTTGTCTAAAGACACATGGAATCAAGTGTGTAGTACTGTGTCGCAATTTGCAAACAAAGGTATGGAACAACGGAGTCTTGTTTCTCATGCCACTCCCAAATACTCGTTTCTTGTTTGGCCTGCTACACATAATAAATTGACTACAGCCTACGCGGGTGATAGAATGTGTGCTTGAAATGCGGGTGTGTATTCCAAATGTATATTATGTCGAGATCTAATGGAAACACCAGATCATTTTTTTTTTTTTTTTTGCGGCTACTCATCTCAGGTTTGGGAGATGCATTTAACGCAAAACATATTTTTTTGCTTGAATAAATTTTACATTTATTAAAAAAAAAAGGAGACTAAAATGACTTAGAAGTTTTTAAAAAATAATCACAAACAGTGAAAAAAAAAAACTAATATTAGTAATATTTTTCACGTAGTCGTCGTATATAATTCAATCATTTTTAAAAATACAAAAACATAATTAATATGACAAATAATATATAAAAAGAGGAATCATGTCTTTTTAAAACGTAAAAAAATGTTATACCATTTATCACTATTGTTTTATTTTTTGTTTGGTCAATCGCAAACTTTAGAGAACCGTGGACTTATACCAGGACCATCTCAAACTATTTAGAGGAATATGCAATTTTATACCCAATTTTTTTTTTTTTTTATCAATGGCCACTACAAGAAATGCAGTGTTTTCCTACGGCCAAAATCGTAGGATATTGGTAGGAAATAGACGTTTCCTACCAATTTCCTACGAAAAATATTTGAAGGGAATCGCCCGTAGGAAATATAATTTGGTAGGAAATTCCGTTTCGTAGAAAATTTCCGTTTCGTAGGAAATCACGTAGAAAATTTCGTAGGAAATTGGTAGGGCCTCTTTCACCATTTTCCTACCAAATTTTCGTAGGAAATTGAGTCCTTCAACTTTTCTACGAAATATATCTTACCAATTACCTACCAAAATTATCTTACCAGTTTCCTACGATTCGCCTCCTACCAAATTCCTACCATTATCCTTCGAAATTTCAGACCCAATTTTAATAAAATATTTATTTATTTATTTGTTGCAAATTTTGGTTTTTTGAAAAAATTAAATTTAAAATTCAAAAGAAACTTAAAATTAAATTTAAAATTAAACTCCATACAAATTAAAATTTATTGTACAAGTCATTCTAATATAAAGATCGAAATCCTAATCGATCTACTCTTGAGTCTCGTCGTCATCGTCATCTACGCTCGTGTTCGTCGTCTTCGCCAGAGTTCGTCGTCTTATTCTGGACTGTCGGATAACCCGGTGGTTCAACTTCACAAAGAAAATCTCAGCTGCGACAAGCTGCGAAAACACAAAAAAACAAACTCATCTCTAGTAAAACACTCAAAACCCTTCAGAAAAAAAAAAAAATATAGTGTCTGGCCCTTACTTTTTCCTCTAGATGGCTAGACAAAAGCTTCCAAACGATGCCTCTTGTTTGATCTCTTTGTTCACTTGAATCCAGAGGCAAACTATGTACACAAAATAAAGAAGACTGTTAGTTTTATACATTCTCAAAGTATAAGTATTTCTGTCATAAAAGATGGTAAATGATTGCTCGAGTAATTACCCGATACACTTAACCGCAAGGTAGTATATACGGGGTCGATCCACAAGAACCAATGGTACACTAAAGATTTCTGAGACTCGTTTTTAGCTAAAGCTAAAAGGTTGTTTGTTTGGTTTTCAGATTTTAAAATAAAAATGCAAGTAATTTAAACGATTAAACTTATGAATTAAAGACATTGGGTATTAGGGTATTTCAGAGATCGATAAACAATGGAAACATGAGACAAGGAATTCAACAATTAAGAACCGTTCTTGAACATGAACACAACTAGACTAATTCTCTTTCAAGATATTAATCACTAAATTTGACTACTCGATTACTAAACTTTCGCATGTAATTTCCTAGTCAAATTTGCATTATCAAACAAGTTCATTTAGTTCACAATGCGTCCTAACTTCAACTTTCGTTGGCTAGAAATACATTGCTCAATTCACATTCTTTCAGGCATTCTATTGAACACTTTTGATGCATAGAAAAACCTAGAATCTACAACAGGGTGATCAATCCTATTCTAGCATTAAGAACATGTGAATCAAAGAACCTAGAGAATGAGAATTCCAAACAACAATCAATCCATCAATCCATTGAATCTCCTATTAGAACCCTAGAACCCAATAGGAGAACTACTCACACATAGAAAAAGAGATAACAAAAATCAATGAAGAAAACATGATGAAATTGTAGAAATAACAAGATAGGGTTTAGAAATCTTCTCCAAGTGTCAAGAGGATGGATTCCTTTGCCCAAAGTTGTTTACAAACCAAAGAACAAAGTTTAGAACTCAAAAATATCAAAGATAATGTCTCCAAAAGTCGAGCTTAGGGTTTTAAACAATAGGAGACGAGCCGGGTCGGATCTGGAGTGACTCGGGTCAAATCTGGGCCAAAAATACGTCTGGGGAAGGGATCGATCGATCCCCACCTGGGATCGATCGATCCCGAGCTGGCGGATGATTTTTCTTCGACGGACGAGAGTTGGATCAATCGATCCCCTCCTGGGATCGATCGATCCCGAAGCTCCTGGGGTCAAGCTCTACACCTGCTTCAAATGCTCGCCAGATTGACCTGTCTTCACTAATTCGGGTGTAACTCTTTGATGCACCGTTAGATTTCCGTCAAACCACTTGTAAAATCAAGCTAACATCTTCATCTAGCTTGTGTCAAAAATTCAGAAAGATCTAACGGTGGGAAGTCTTCCATCTGAGGCCAAACGTCTGACACTTCTAAATAAAACTGCATCTCCAAATGTGTGTTTATATCCCAAAACAGCTCGTTTTCCTCCAAAGCAACCTAAAACCTGTAAAGACTCGATAAAAAACTAAAAGACTCTAAAAACACACTTTGACTCTATAAAACATATGATGTAGGAAAGAAAACAAAGACTCAAAACCGATAAAAACACAACATATCAGTAAACTTACTAGCAAGAACTGCAGTCCCGTTTTCGAAGTCAGGATCAACTAGACTGTGACCCTCTTACAGGATCAACTAGACTGTGACCCTCCTACACACATTATTAACATCAACTACCTGTGTACCAAAATACATTAGGAACACACTACAAGAAATGATTTTTCAATTCTGAGAATTCTCCAAGTGAACTATCCAAGTAAAGTTTTAGAATTACAGAACAAGCCAACGCAATTAAAAACAGAGACTCCACGTACACGTACGTAACTTCCAAAGCAAGAAGTTCATATTCACGTAACTAGATCATAATTCCAAAGTCAAAAAGACAACTACTTCAATACATGAATAAATTCAAATTCTTTGCCAAAAAAAAAAAAAAAGAATAAATTCAAATTATCTATATATCCTTTATATTTATAAAGCTTGAAGCGAACAGATTGAAACCAATTTTTATATCCTTTACATTCTAGACCCAAACGATTGAGAGAGAGCTTAAGCAAACTCATATAGTAACAACTCCATCCCTTTTTCATCACCTTAAACCAAATCCTGCAATGTTTCTTTATATAAACCCATTAGTCCCACTACAAAAAAAAGGCTAGGTTGCATCACTTAAATTGCATCAAAAAGTTAAACGATACTAATTTGAGTTACTTATTAATAATTGATACAAAAAATATAATTTAACATCAATTGTTGTAACTGATGCTATTGTTAATTTATGTGGCATCAATTCATTAAAATTGATACAAATCTAGATCAATTTGTATCATTTTTACATATTGATACAAATTTATAAATTCACATCATTTAAACAATCGATGTATTTCTTAATTTATATTAACATCACTTGAAAAATGATATAATTTTTAATAAGTTTACACTAATTACGTTAAAACTAATTTTGTGGTTTAACATCCACTGATCATGCATCCTCTATTTATTACTAAATCTTTAATTACACAAAACAAAATTTAGACGATCATAAAAAAAAATTCTCTTTTCTTTTTGAATTTTTTCATTGGCCGCCTCTTTTTTTGTTTCCTCAGTTTAAAATCTTAGTTGGAAATAAAATATCTATTTTCCTTTTCACCAAAACTAAGTAAATCAAAATACAAATCTCTCCGGAATCTTAACTTCTTTAATCTACAAAATCTACACTTTCTTTGCCAAATACAAATATCTAAGATATATATTTTTTTGTTAATAACTTCTTCTCGCCAAGATGATTACTTTAAGAAGCAGAGGTTTGGTGGCTCGTCTTCTTCGCAAAACTGTAGGTCACTTAATGTTCTAAATTTTGTTTGGGTCATTCAATTTACAAAAGTAAAAGGCTAAAAGCTACTCATAGAATAAATCTACGACCACAAGAGTTTGTGGCTTTAGAAATATGTGTCTTTTCAAAGATTAATTAGAAGTTCTATTTTGTTATCTCTTTGATTTTATGCTGATCTTAGGCTGATCTCCATACTTATTTTGTGCTGTTTTGATCCAGTCTTTTATCATCAAGGCGTTGAAGGACCCGGAAAGAAACAGAAAGACGGTTAAGAAAATAAAGCACACGGACGATGATGTTACTGAGGTTGCTAGGATTATGAGGCCCATGAGGATCTGACCGTGAGGATCGTGAAGAAGATTTAGAGATGCATGGGATGCACCATTGATGAAAAAGACCCAAAAGATTTTTCAGCATGAATTCAAGGATGTGATCGAGATTGATATTTCTGAGAATTAATTAAGGAACAAAAGTAGTTTATGGTTTTAGAGTTTGTTTTTGAATTTTCAACAATGTAAAGTTGTAAACGTGTAAACGTGTTTTCTTCCATGAAATTAAGTTTTTGTTTTTAATTTTATTTTATTAATATTAATTTTATATATTATTATTTTATTGAAAATGATATCATTGCTATATTTGTTCATGAAAACTGATATTAAATTTAACATCAATTATTTATAATTGATAGAAATATTTAACATCGATTATTACAAATGATACAATTATTTGTATCAGTTATCAAAAATGATATTAATCTTAACATCACTTACTATAACCGTAACAAATAATTACATCATTTTTATTAACCGATGCAAATTTAACATCGTCTCTTGCAAATGATACAAAACAACATCAATTATAATAATCGATGCAAATATTTGATGCAACCGATTCAAAATATTTGCATCACCACTTTCAGAGTCACTTTTATAAGTGATGCAAAACTTATTTGCATCATTTATAAGTAATGTAAATATACAAAATAAATGACACAAAACACCTCTTTTTTTGTAGTGTCCTTCTATCAATAAACAACATTCACAAACACACAAACCAATAAACAACATTCACAAACCCATTATACCCAATTTTTTTTTTTTTTTATCAATGGCCAGTAGATCGAACGCAAGAAGATTGGAGACATAATAATATGATCCGATGAGAACGTTGGTATAAAGTTGAGTATTGTTCATGTTATATTGGCGGCGTTGAAAAATTAATTCGCACATGTGTTTTACTTCTTTATAAATTATATCACACATGTTCATGTTTCATTTTAATGTAACTTTAAGTATTTTTCTTACAAACACAAGTGATCGATCTTAGGGTTGCCTTGGGAAGGGGTTATGACTTTGCTAAATAAAAAATATCCAAACTAGAAATTTGGTTTAATAATTTAGGTAGTATGAAAACAAGATGATCACCTAAACATGTTAAGTTTGACATAACAATATAATAATGATAAAATATCTATGAAACTTTGTTAATATACTCATAAGTCATAATATCAACTCTTTGGTTGGTGGCCTAACATATGTCATTTAAAATTTCTTCATTGAGAAGAACAGTAAACAAATTTGGCTTCTAACTACTCTAGTTTCAAATTACTAATATTAAATTATTACTTCACCCCAATATAAATAAAACATTAATGTGTATTTAATAATGTCATATTATTTTCTTACCTTCTATGTGTTTAAAAATAAAATTAATTTAAATGTATTAACTTGGCTTTGGCATTGTACTACATGGCAAAATAAATCAAGACATTATTTAATTAATTTGGAAGTCTATTAAATAAAATAAAAAAAACTAATGCTACATAACAAAAGCAATTGACTTTCTAGCATATTTTTTTCTCCTTTTTTTTTTACAAAAAATGTAACAAGAATATTCATTCACACACACGAACACATGACTACAAATCTACAACAGAAGTTATACAACTCAGAAATTCCAAACGCAATCCAATTCTTCTGTACCGGCCAAACCGGACGGATCACGACCGTCAAATGATCTACCGGGAAATTGAGGTTCTTGACCGTCAAGCAACAGCTTCATTAGCGAATAATTGTCTTGTAAAAACAGAGGATCAGAGTAAAACAGAGAACCAAAACCTCCTTTGGACTCCTGGACAAGTCTCTTGTCTTCGGTTTCTTGGTCGGAGAAGCAGGTCACGTGAGACGACGAACCGGTGAAGGAGTCTCGTTGAGAACAATCCATCAACGAAGGTAAACCGGTTGGTTCAATTCGGTTAATGTGTGGATCAAGCATTGACATTGGAATCTTTGTACCATCGGCACGTTTTTGGAAAACACGACATATAACCCATTCGTTCTACATTCACAAACAAAAAAATTAATTTTAAGTCCAAAAAAAGACAAAACAAAAAGACACAAAATCTCTTAATGTTATTACCTTAGCTGTTTGGGGAAGATTTTCGATAGAATATTTGCCTTCTAAACGATATTCATGCATAACCCAATTGGTTTTAACTCCTTTAGGAGCTCTTCCTTTATAGAAAACCAAAGTTTTCTTCATACCCACAAGTGATCTTCCCTTGAAAATCTCTTTGTCTTTGCCTGTGGCTTTCCAATAACCGGCTTCTGTCGCCCGGTTTGTCCTCAAACCGGTCGGGTATTTCCGGTCTCTCACACAAAAGAAATACCATTCTTTCTCACCCATCTTAGCCTTCCCTGTTCCATCAAAACCAGCCATATCATCAGATCTATGAGTTTAATTGTAAAAGGACTGAGGAAATAGAAAGATAAGGTGTGAAACTTACATGGTAAGTCCCAAGGCTCGATCTTGTTGAGATCAACTTCACCAATGGCAGTAGCAGAGAAGAAAGTGTTGAAAACTTTTGGTTTGAGGTAGTGAGTTATGAGTTCTTCATCAGTAGGGTGAAATCTGAATCCTGGTGGTAGATCAATTTGTTCATCATCTTCAACCATTTCGCAGATTCTTGATGCCTCATAATCCATTTTATCCTAATAGGGTTTCTAAGAAACAATACAAGTTTTGATCTTCTTGTAAGAATTTTATGAAGAAAAGGGTTTTTGAAGAGAGAGAAGAAAGTTGGGGTTTTTAAGAGAGAGGAAAGGGTTTGAGCAACGAAGCTCTTCTCTATATACTAGTTTTTCATTTGAGAAATAAGCTAAGAACACTAAATTTATTATTATTTTTAATATATTGACCAATTATTGGTCAATTTTTTCCGTATTAAGTTCTTCTTTAGAACAATTATTTGTATCGAAATTCAAGAGTTTTCACCTACTATAAAGAAAAAGAAAATCTGTTATCTTACTTCTAATAATAATTTTATATGTATATAAATGGGTTTTCGCGTTTAAATCTCGTATAACTATCAAATAATATTATAAATCAGAAAATGCTATTTTTAGTTTACTTAATAGGATAGAGGAAAGAAGAAGATGCGTAGATTGTTAGGCAACTTAAGATGTGTGATTCTCAAATATCGTTTTCAATTAAAAATAAACCTTTCTATTTCAAAAACTTTATTATTTCCAAGTTTCAATTTGACCAGGAACACTTCACCTGTAACTCCCTGGCCCTTTTTGTTAATGTGATAAGAACAATCTTATCACATTAAATCGTGATGTTTTTGTCCATTCTTTATCTCATTATCAACGGTTAGATTTTACTTTTTTAGTAAACTGTGATTATTGATTTGGTAACAATTTATAATTGAAACTACGTGATTATTCATTATGGTAATTTGGAATTATAAATTTGGTACTAATACGTAAGGTTAATTATATATATTGTAAATATAATAATTCAGTGTGAATGGTTGAAGAATTAATGACTTTTTACTAGTCTTTCTTTTTAACGAAAAGAATGACTTTTTTACATTTACTATTCTTACGGTATGGGTCACTATTATTGGTGTTATGTTATTTAGGATAAGTATTAGAACAAAAGCAAAAAAGTTCACATGGTTAGAGATAATTTGTTTTATTTGTTTAACAAAATGTTATCCATCTCGTGAAAAATGTATGCATGCATGAACCTTGGAAAGTATATTTTTATATATTAAAGCAACTGGTCCTTTTGTCTTATTCCAATGTCTACCGTTATAAGAAATTATATTAATAATATCTAAAATGATATTTTAAAGTTCAATGAAAAATTCGATAGAAAAACGATTTCCATGTGAAAATGGGTAATGATGATGAATGATGAGGATGGTGATGATGAAATTCTGTTAGACTTTGAAAGACATTTTGAACAACTTTTACTTACCTTCGCCATATTTATATGTCAAGTGTTTTCTTTTCATGATCGAATCACGTGTTTGTTCATACGAGGTTGTCATTTGCATTGCTACAACATGTGTGCACTTAATTTTTTCTTAGCCTCATTTCGTTTGAATTATAAATTATATATAAAATCCATGTATATATGTATTGGAATGAGATTTGGATCGTTATTGGAAGGTGAATTAATAATAATAATGTGTTTCTTTTTTTTTTATCAAAAAAATAATAATAATGTGTTTCATACTCCTTTTTCTTAAAAGAAAAATTTGATTTTCTCAAAACGAGTAAGATATATAGGTTTGACAAATTGCCCTAAAAAAGAGAGAACCAAAAAGAATGTAAGACTCTAGAAGGTTAGATGCATACATTCAAAAGTAGTCATTTATCACTCTTTATTTATTGATCATGACATATTTTAACAATTCTTGGAAGATTTTCAAGATCCATTTCAAGACATCCTTAATACAAACCATTTCAAGACATAGCGTGTGGCAGAATCGATATTATTTTTGGGTTAAGTTTTTGTCAATTCACTCGGGTCGGATTTACTTTCTTTCGAATTCTAATCAGATTTTGATTTTTCTTGTAATTGATTATATCCTCTATTAATGGGTACCATCAAGGTTAGATGTGAATCTTTGCTGATTTAAAAGAGGTGTTGTTGAATATGTATTTTCCGTTTTTTTGTGTGCATGTCATTGTGCATTTATTTATTTCCGGTGTAGTTACGAGTTTATAGTCTTAGTTTGAATGTGTAACCATATAACTAATCATTCTTCATGTAACTGAGAAATATATTTTTCAAATCTTTATAGTAGATGTTGTATACATGATGAGTACTTATGTGTATTATACATATTCATAAGTGGCGAATCAGGCATTAGGCAATATGATTTGTTGAATTCGCCAACAATCACGCAATCAATAGAAGCTCCAGGTTGTGTCTCTTACGTACATATAATCTCTGTTCTTTTTTGGTGTTGATTGTTGTTTTAGTTTAGACCTTTTTCATTGCTTTAGTTCTGTTCATTAACACAAGTACGTAGAATCCTACTTGGTTTTGTTTCTGATTTGTTGTTTCTCTTAGGAAAAGACTTGGTCAATTTTAAAAGAGGACTTAGTCCTGATTCTTATAAATAGCCGTCGTTAGTTTTGTGTTTTTGTCACTTTTTTGATGATAAATAAAATCCAAAAGAGATCTTGAAGAAAACATCTCTTATTTTTTTTTTATTCCACACATTGTTTTTTGAAAATATTTGGTTATCTTAGAGCATTTCTTAAAAATTCTCATTATTTTAAGATATAAAAAAGGTATGAATTTTTTCAACAATATTTAAAGAAGAATCGCAGTAGGATATGAAGTTTAATACAGCGTAAAATTATTATTTATTTATTTTATTCCAATTCAGATTCATTGATTTTAAGAGAATAATACTTTCGAATCATTTTTGTAGTTGGTGTCGTTGCCTTCTTTACATACTACGTTGTTTTCTACCTTTAACGCATTTCGTTGATTTCACAAAAATGGTCATCCATTCTAATATATTTTTTATTTATTTTTTATGTCTGGAAATTCGGGTTTTCGGATCGGTTTATTCAGATTTTAGGTAAAAAAATTTAGGACCCAGAACCAAAAAATTCGATTTGGTTCGGATTTCGTCGGATTCGGATTAGTTCTCAAAAGATAATTAAAATCGACATAGAACATAACCATATTTTAGTCCGGTTATTGAACTCGAAATATCCAATAACCTCGGAAAAACTCGAAATACCAAAAAACATTTGATGTCATATCGTAAAATTTATTTTTCCTTGCTTTCGGATCTTCCAAACTGAAGAGAATTTTTTTGAGTATAAACATTAACTCACACACAAAAATGAAACAAACACTAAACATTTCAATGCCATAGTAACATAAGAATTATAGGTCTTATATCATGTGTAATGTACTATCGGATTTTATGGGTATCCGTTCGAGTTTTAGTTTTTTTTGAGTATTCGTTCGAGTTTTGGATCCTCTCCTAAAAAAAATGAAAACCAAAAATAAATTATTTAAAATTTATTCAAGCATTTTTGGTTATCTGAAACTGAACCAAACCTTTTATTTTAGGGATGATTTGGATTGAGTTTTCCGATTCCAGTTTTAATGCTCATGCCTAGTTTTGATACTCTTCCAATACCAAAATGTTTTGAAAATATAGTCGACACTTGTAGAGATCATAACAAAAATAGATATGAACTATGAAAAAAGGAACTTTTATTAAAGGGAAAGAATATAACTTTTGGTGAAAGTTCATATAACACAATCATGAATTCACTGAAATGTGTAGTGTATACTATTAGTGTATTAATCATGTGACTTGTAGACTAAATTCTTTATTAATCAACGGAGGATATACGACCAGTCGACCACAAGTACCCCTTCTTAAAAGCAATCAATAGCTGGACTCTCATTGAGATATTTTGTAATCTTGGCTACTAATGAAATCAAATCAATCATTTTAAAGCTAATCCTTTCTTTTTTTTGTTTTAGCAGTCGTCATTTCGTTTTCAGGAAATATTAAAAAAAATTCCTATAAATATCTTAGGTATTGGTGAGCCCAAAACACACGTGTCGCTTTGTTCTTTGAAACGGCAAGAGTTTTAATCGTATTGGCAATGCCAACCTTCTCATGGACACGTCACACGTACAAACAATTCCAAAATAAACACGTGGTTCAATAGCAATGGTGAAGAGAAAATGGTAAAGCATCTTCTAAAACTATTCTTAATTATCATAATTAAAACAGTTGAAAGGAACTAATTTAGTTAATTACTCTAAGTTGGGATTTGAAGTTTGACTAATGCCTCCTTGGCCGAAACATGGGCTTTCGAGAGGGAACAAGACACGAGTCGAGAGTTCATTGGTTTCTACAAAGAGGATAATGTAAATTTTGTATTGTTAAGTTAGGCGATCCAATGTCAAAAAAAATAAAGTTAGGCGATCCAATTTTTGTAGATATACTAAATTATTATATAATTTAATCATTTGATAACAGGATCATGGTCAACACTTAGCCTTAAAGTTTGCTTTGTCGTACATACTAATTCCTATGTAATTTTAATTAAAATCTGTGATGTTAGCTTAGTTTGAGAAATCGAATCTTACTCAAAAAATTTAAGTCACGTGATAGGAAATTTCTCAAGATCACATTGATTTTGAGAACGTTTAAATGAAGACGCGGCTTCAACCAATTCACTATATCGATTTCAGACATATTGAGAGAAGGAGTTGAAGACCAAAAATCGTTTAAAGATAATTTTTTAAGAATAAAGAATTTTTAAAAAGTAAAATTAGGAAATAAAACTTATACTCTTGATTGATTGTAACGCTTTGACCGCCATAAAATGTGTAAATCCCGCAGTTTTGCAATTCCTTATTCTTAACAAAAAAATCTTTATGTGTGGTTGGATTCCTAAACTTTGACGTACAATTTTTTGTTCAATATATTGCATTGGCACTATGAATTACTTTGTTAAGTTCGTTTTTCATTCTTTACGCTCCCTTCAACCGTACAATCATACTTACGCTAAAGTAAGAAAATTTGGTTTTTGAAAATAATAATAATTTTTTTTTTAAATGAATGTAAAATTATATTCAACCAAAAAACGTGTTACAATAAATGCATTTGTTTTGTTGATGTTTTGATATTACAATAGAGAGTTTTGGAAGATTCACTTGTTGCAGCTACGTTCTTGAGGCAAACGAGACCTTCCTCAAAGCCACCAGTGGTTGCAGACGTTTTTATCAATCTTTTTTATTAGTTGAGCTTGAGGTATAGGGATTTCTCCATGTCTTCTAGCATTCCTTTCTCGCCAAAGATGGTACAAGGTTGCCTGAAAGACGTACCTAATAAGGAATTCATGATTTTTGGCAGGTTTGAAGGTAATATATAGTGACTAGTTGTTTCCGGTCTGTCGAGTAGTCATTTCCAAGTAGGCCTTGTGATAATGATCTCCATACTGCTGATGAATATTGACAAGTGAAAAATAGATAGTTTCTTGACTCTTCGTTTCTGTCACACAAAATGCAATCAACCGTTGCCCTGAATTCCAATGTTTTATGCAGTCTCCAGTTGAGAGACGATCATGAACTGCTAACCACGCTAGGAAAGAGTACTTGGGTGTTGCATATGAGAACCAAACACCCTTGTACCAATCTGTTCTGGGATTTGGAATTCGAATAATGTTCCAGGTTGCTTTTGTACTGAATGTTTTCTTGAATTTATCCCCTGAGTACCTCCAAAGAAAGATATCGTTTTCAACACGTCTACCTATGTGATGCAGGTCACTGATCTCAGCTTCTATTGCATTAAGCGTTTAAAGATAATTATTAAAAAAAAAGAATAAGTTTTACCGATCGGAAAACACGATCGGAATAAAGATTTCAAAATAGTGTATGGGAGAGTCTCAAACACTGTTTTAATATTTTAAGTGGACGTCCAAGAGGGGACCGATCGGTCATGCAGACTCTATGAATATAAGTTAGATACGTGGATGAACCAATCGATCGATCTCAAGGAGGGATCAATCGGTCTTGCAAACTCTCTAATTGGATAGTTGGAATGTCGTGTAGATGAACGTTTGATCCATTGAGAGGGTCAAACGGTCTCTTTTTTTCTTTGCACGTTCTTGTCTCGAACATGTTCAAAAACGTTCATTTCCAACATATCGTCTCAAAAATTGGACATGACTAAAAACACATCAAAACAAAAAATACTAAAACAAACAAAAACACGATTAAAAAAAAAAAAAAACACAAAACGTACATAATACACGAGGTTAAAAATACTAAAATACAATATATCACTAACAACCTCTCAATATATGAAATCTTTACTTTAAACTTATCCTCCAAATCGAAATACAACTCAAGTCAACTGCTATTTTCCGTAGTTAAAGCACTCATTTCCGTGTTGGCCACTTGCTACTGCTCTTTTGAACGTATTTTCATGTAGTAAGCCTTTTTACGAAGAAGCTAAATTACTTATGAATCCAATAGTAACATACTTGCTGCTCAAAATCTGTCCCTTTAATTTTTTCTTACATATACATTGTATTTGTTCAGTAATTAATTTAAATAATACATATTGTTCAATGGAGCCAAAATTTGTAAATCCCTTATATTGGAATAATATTATAACACTTCAACAACAAATGAGATATGTTAATTATGATTTAACAGGCACAACTTCTTGCTTGCTCCTCCTCTGATTCACTGTCGCTGCTATATCTGAGTGTTGAGAAAAAATACGTGAAATCCTAAGTGATATTACTATATTAGTAAGGGTATATGTTGACAAATAATATAGGAAGATAATTTCATTTAAATTCTCTCAAGGCAATTTAAATTATGGTTAGTCACTATGAACATTTTAAATATCAAAATTTTGATTTTCTCCACATACACTGGATAGTATATAATTACTTCTTTGTTTTGGCATTCATTTATATAAACAAACTTCTTGGTTGATAATTTTTAGTTTTTAACATTAAATATGAAAATAGAATGTAACATCTTGACCACCATGTTTAATAGGCCCCAAGTCATCTTTCTGCACATGGGCCCACCCGTGTCCGACGGCCGGTCTGCTACATTCTGGAGACTTTAAATACTTGTTCACCGGACCTAACAAATCACCACATGATTTTTTTCCAAAAAATTTCCTCACTCATACGGTTCCGACAATCATTTTCTAGAAGGTCACCCATCCTGAAATTGCTCCAGCTCAAGCACGCTTAACTGTGGAGTTTTCTCAGAATGTTTGACCGAAAAGATAAGTGCACGTTGGTGACATAGGTGGCCAAATTAATTCTTGTAAACATATCCGCATGCACCACCATATTCCAGAAATCATGATATTACATAGAAGCTTTTATATATTACAAAAATGTAAATTAAAATCGCAAATCTATAAGTATAAATTTATTAATGACGTAAATGCAATTTTATTTGTATGTATAAATCATTAAAATATTTGAAATTTAATTGTAAGTTTATTTATAGACTAAATTGTTGTGTTATTGCATGATGTTTATATACTATTAATTATTTTAATTTAAAATATTTTAGCGCATTTAAAATTTTTAGTTTTGACATCTCATGATTTAATATAAAAACTATGAGTTTTTTAAAATCATTTTCTCATAAAATTAAATAACACATATTAGATTTATCTGCGCATGACACGAGTTTTTTACATAAGAACAATTCTTGGGTTCACCCCTAGGGGTGAACCTCTTTCATTCACCCCCTCTTAATTAACCAATTAGAATTATCCATGTCATCTAACTAAATAAATTAAAAAATTAATATTATCTAAATAAATAATAAATAAATTCATTAAAGAAAAATTTTTGGTTTCACCCAAAATTATATATCGGTTTGGGTTTATAAATTTGAATTAGGTTTTAGATTTTTACAATTAAACGAAATCATATGTCGGTTTGGGTTTATAAAAAAAGTGATTAGGGTTTAGATTTACAATTAAACAAAATTATATGATGGTTTGGATTTACAAATGATGATTAGTGTTTAGATTTTACAATTAAACGAAATTATATGTCGGTTTGGGTTTATAAAAGTGATTGGGATTTAGATTTTATAATTAAACAAAATTCTATGTCGATTTGGGTTTATATAAGAGGTTTAGGGTTTAGATTTTATAATTAAACCAAAAAATTATGTCAGTTTTGGTTTATAAAAGAGTGGTTAGGGTTTAGAGTTTACAAATAAATAAAATTATATGTCGGTTTGGGTTTATAAAATAGTGGTTAGGGTTTAGATTATACAATTACATGAAATTATATGTCGGTTTGGGTTTATAAAAGAAATGTGAGGATTTAGATTTTACAATTAATTCAATTGAGAGGGTTTTAATGAATTATTTTTTTAGATAATATTAATTGTTTTTATTTATTTAATTAGATTATGTGGTAAATTTTGATTGACTACTTAAAAATGGTGAATAAAGAGGTTCGCCCCTATGGGTGAACCCAAAAATCGTTCTTAACAATAATCAAGAATGATAACTTTTGAATGGTTTAAATAATAATGGATGTACAAAGAAGGTAAATTATCCAGTGTTGGCAACTTTCTTACCAACCGTAGAGTTATAAGTGACAAGACTTTTGACTTTTTCTAAAGACGTTGAGATTAGTGGAGGGTTTAGTGTAGGATTTTCCGTTTATTCAAAATGTTGATAGGTTTAAGGGCTGCATGTAGTTGATTCATCCAATACTAGAGGCAGAAACGTTGCTCATGATTTGGGATAAACTCCAGCAGAAGATGGAGACTAAGAAGAAGAACCCTAAAATGATTTGGGGCAAATTCGATTTTGTTTTCTACAATCGAATACTCTATTTCAACAAGAAGGCTTCACTTCGGTTGCAAAGTTTTGTCGGGTCTATACCTCGGGTTGGTCTACAGTGATCGCGATTTGAGGATTTTTAATCGCAATTAGGGAGAATAGTTGATTTTTGTTAATTATGGAGAATTTAATACTTTAGGTGGAATCAAGAAGTTTAGGACAAGTACATGATGAACTGGGCAGAGGTCGACGAAAATAAAAGTGGATAGGAGTTGAACTCCTATAATATAGGTGTAACGCTACATGCAGCCCTAGGTTTTAAAGTTTAATTGAACCAGGGTGGTTTGTTTCAATCACCCCCAGTTCGCATATGTTTACGTAGTCTTTTTATTTGGCATAACACACACTCACATCTTTGTAGTACGACGCACATATAAGAGAGCTTTTCGAGCAACCTCCATAAAAGCTTCATCAACATTGCTCTTTTCCTTTGCCGAGGTCTCAAAGTAGGCTATTTCCCCCTTTGTCTCACACCATTGGACTGCTTTCTCTTTTTCAACCTGCGTAAGATAAACCCGTGGACGTTAGAATTTAGAACCGGGGGTAACTGCAAAGAGAAGATACATAGAGAAAGCTTACAACTGGGGATGTTCTGCCTTTTACATCTGTTTTGTTCCCCATCAAAACAAAGGGAATTCGAAACTTGTCAGGTGTGATAGGATCTGCCTGAAAGTTATTAACATGTGTTGCAATAATCAAGAAAAATATCGCCACATCAAATATGCAAATAGTTATATATCGCAATGAGGAGATGGTAGTGCACCTCTTCGACGAACTGGGCATGCCAGATGTCGAGAGATTCAAACGATTCGAGAATATTAACGTCGTATACAAGAACGCAGCAATTTGCGTCTCGATAGAACCCTGACGTTATACTGTGAAATCTTTCTTGTCCAGCAGTATCCCAAATCTGTAAACAAAACATAAGTTTTGAATTAAAAAAAAAAAAGATAAGTTGTGAAGAAAGGGAGCTAGTGCTTGACATTTACTTGTAAAGTGACTTGTTCTTTGTCAACGCAAAGCTCCTTGTTGGTGAAATCCATTCCGACTGTATTCATATGCAGCCTCTTAAATTCCTCACCAATGTATCTTAGGCCACAAGTTAGGGTATCAGTGAGAGAGAATTGTAATAGCTTGGAATATGAATTTTAAAGAGGATACCGTTTCGTCAATGATGTTTTGCCTACCCTGCATAAAGAGTTAGAAAAGAGAAAAATAACCGAGGAAACGTTTAAAAAGTAATAATAGTTACATTCCAAAGAAAAAGAAATTGAAAATTGAAAACAAAATCGGCATAAAAGGTGAGAGTGAAAACTCTAGATTTTAAGAGAAATCTTGAAACATATTAGACAAAAGTTTAATCGTAACCCGCTATTTCCGAGAAGGATGATCTTCAGCTTTGTTCTTTTCTGCCGAGAACTCATTGTCGATCGAAAAGCGCAAGAAAGAAGCCTACGAGATTGTTCTCTGAATCTTTTTCTGAAAAGTTTTCTATATTGTTTTTGATACTGTTTCTTCTTCATCTTCAGGACATTGTCTACAAAATTGTTTGACAAAATAAATTTATTTGATTGAGCTTGAATCTAAACGATTATAATAAATTCATCGTTTATAAAAAGAAGAAGAGAACGGGTCATAAAGATTTAATCTTTTAAAATTTGAACCAAAACGAAGAGGTCCTTAGGCTTATATCAAGTGTTATGATATTTATTGGGTGATAGGTGGATAATCTATTTAATACTGTCAACTTAATAAAAGTTTAGCTGGTTGAAACAAAAAGTGGTTTGGTTGATCAAAAAAAAAAAGACACAAAATGGTTTGGTTGATCAAAAAATGGTTCTCCATCCACGTCTATTTTTGTTGCGTTACTTCAAGCGCATATTCAACTGAAGAATAACAATTAAAAAGTTCAAACACTATATAAATAATTCTAAAATTTGCGTAAAGATTGAAATATTCCAAACTTTGTGCTTAATTCGCTTCTGCTCCGGCCTACTCTTTAGTTTCTGTGATCACCTGAAAACTTCGTTAATTATTTGTAAATTTTCTCTTGAGATCAGTTAATTTGACTATGTGGCTTCTTTTTCTCTATTTCATTCATATCACACAATATGTTAGGGTTTGAGTTTGGTTTTGGGTTGTTTTAGTGTACAATAGTCTTTCTTATTGATGGTTGTGGGCTATTACAATGTTTTTTTTTTTTCTATCAGGTTTGAGTGTACCGGAGAATTGAGTTTGCATCATTATTGCGTTTGCTGATTCTGCACAATGAGTAATGTGTTCCACGAATACGATCGGCAATATAGAGAGCTCTCAGTAAATCTTTCAAAGAAGTGTTACTTGGCTTTTTCACTCAAAGGAGGTAAATGATATCTCAAATCTCTCCTTCGCTTTTTTAAAATTTAGTAACCGAAACGTTTTGGTGCTGAGGCATAAAATCTTTTCAAGCTATGAGAACTGAGGTAGTTAAATTATCGTTTCCTCTCCGTCACCGATACTTGAACTTGTGATCTTGAAGACTTTTCATTAGTTTTCTTAGAGAAATGTAGAAAAAATTAGATTTAAAACAACCTTTACATGTTTCAGAATTTTAGAGGTATTTTGGTTTGTATTTGATGCGGTATTGTGCCATACATTGATGATACTTTACTAACTAATTTACAGGAGAGAAGAAGGAGAAGCTGTCTGAAATAACATCTGATCTGGAAAATGCAGAAAAATTGGTTAGTGGATATAGAAGTCTTCTCCATTTTTTCTTTTGATGATTTTCTGTCTTTTATTTCACCAGATTTGGAAAATGGATCATGCAGCAAGTAACCTTCCACCCAATATTAAATCCATCCTCCTTGAAAAATTAAGGGAATCTAAATCTAGTCTAAAAAGATTTAAGAGTGATATCAAGAGGAACACATCTGAAAACTTGAATGTTACTACTCGAGAAGAAGTTCTTGAAGCTGAAAAGGCGGTATGTTAGGACAACAGTATTGTTCAATTTAATCTAATCTTGATCTTTATAGTAAAACAAATCTTGGTCTCTTTTTTATTGAGTTAAGGATTCAGCTGATCAAAGATCAAGATTGATGAAATCAACCGAGGGTTTGGCTCGAACAAGAGAGATAATTAAGCAGAGTCGAAGAAAAATGATGGAGACCGAAAACATTGGTATTTCAATACTCGAGAACTTGCAAAGTCAGAAAGAGTCTCTCCAACGCAGCCAATCTATGGTAGAATTTTCTCTTACTTCACATTCTGATAAGAGACTACGTTTAGGTTGATTAGGCCACCGGTTAGGATGTTTTAATTAATTAGTTTTGGTGGTTTACTTTATGAGTTTGGTATTCATAATTTCATTTCTATGTTAAAGTGTTTTTTTTTTTTTTAGTTTAGGTTAGAATCTAAGTTGTATCATGGCCTATATAAATATAGGTCTTTATGCTAATGAGAACTTAACTTCCAAGAATTAACCTTAATATCCAAGAGAGCTTAGGGTTACGAGGAAGGTAGATTACAAATCTCTCTATTTCTCACGTTAAACATTTGCTACGATTACGAGATCAAAGTCTAAAGCTTTGGCTTGTATCACATTCATTGATTCATTCATATAGGTCCTCTAGATTTTGTAAATATATTTCTTTCAAAATTCCCAACAAAGTTAATTGAACTAAGTGGCAAATAAATGATACTTTAGGGATCTTCCATGAAGTAGACTACTTTTCTTTATCCACTACACCATTGAATTGGCTAAAAACTAGTGCATTTGAACAAGACTTTCTCTTACTTCATATTCATTGAATCATTATATATACTTGAATGAAAATAAATTACCAGTAGCTCTTAATTAAATAGTTTGAGATGATTTTTTTGACCCTTGGTATCGCTTTAACCAATAGTATGTCGTTGTTACAGCTTCATGAGATAGATGACAATGTCAAAGAGTGCCAGTCAATAGTGACAACCATTAAGATCAAGGAATTTTTTACAATGGCTGCTGCACCAATTGTTATGTTCGCTTTAATCTTAGTAAAACTCGCCAAGTAAGCCTATGGGCTTCCTAACTTAATCTCAGCTGGCTCTGAACAATTGTTGTGTTCGCTTGTGAATCTTGGATTTATTCTTGTACATGTGTGTGTGTCTGTGAAGTTCTGTCTTTTGCCTCATGTTGTAATCTTGTATTCAAATGGGCAAATGGGGTGGTTCACCAGATCAATGTGAATATAAGAACATATAAATAAATAACTATAATAATATTAACCGACATAACAGTACTTTCCTACATGTTGAGCCGAAGTTGATTTTTGATTTTGTACTATATCTTAGCTGTCAATAAAGAAAGAACAAAAAGTTAGAACGACACATTTAATTGGAAAATCATATAAAATGTATATATATATATATATATATATATATATATATATATGTATGTTAAACTTTAGAAACTTGCCATACTTCCAAATCAACTAATAAGATCATGTAATGGAGTCGTGCTTTAGACATACAATAATAAGGACGCGCAAGAAGAATTCTTGAAACAGAAAAAAAGAAAGAGAAAAAACATTGATATTAAAAAATAATTTTGCTATGATATTTATGAATTAGTCAACAGACAAAGACATGAGAATGAACTTTCCACCTAGAACTCGAAATTAAATCCATTTGACTACTAAATTAAGATAACTTTCTCTCAACATTTACATATAGTTTACAGAACTTAAACAAAATGTAGAAAAAATGTATTTGTTTAAACGAAATAGATATATATCACCCTAATTAAACTCTCATTAGATCTATGGGATTTTTTACGTGTCATCGTAAGCCTAGAATGAGAGGAAGAGGCAGTTGCATAGCCAGAGATGACTTGCCGGGCTTGCTTTGTTTACACATCTCACCAACACACATATAAATAAGTAAATACTTTTTCGTATTAGATTACGTACGTACGAAAAAAAATCAATTAAAACTATGTATATATATATATAAAGCATAATCTCCATAATATAAACCGAATATAGAGTAAATATACAAAGCTACCGGCAAGTCATCCTTGGCTGAACAACAATGGCCTTTTTCCCACATTCAAGGCTTTAGATGAGACAATCCATTCACACCTTCATATTCACTCCTCTCCAGTATTATCTAAGATTCCGTAACCACTAATAATACTAATAATGAACGTAAATAACCATAAAATAAAATATGAGAGCAAAAGAGGTGTTGTGAAAATTCTCTCGTTTGTGAATGTAGTTGTTGTTCCAAGATTTTTGGAGAAAACTATCAAAGGAAAACAAAACATTTGGAGAAAAGATGAAATGAACTTTCAAGTTTGCAAGTGGCATTGTCTTGTTCTCTTAAAGTAAAGGGTGTTTCGTACTTATAGATCTTTCTACCAGTTTCCAATTGCTCATTAATGTTTTGGTTTTGCTGCATAGGCTCGTCTTCCAATAGCTTCGTACATTTATAACAGTTTTATATGTTTATCAATTAGTCTTGAGTCTCTTGACTCTTGAATAAATAATAAGTTTTATATTTTATTTCCTCGAGAGGAGCGTGAAGCCATGACCCATGAAGCATGCTTATATGTATAAGATTCTAGATTTAATCCCGGAAAATGAAAGGTGCATATATAATGCACGTAGGAGGTGCTACACTATGCACATGAATTTATTCTGGTTTTTTTTTTTTTTAATAACTCATACCTTTTATTAAAAACTTAGAAACTGGATACAACAAGAGTCTTGACGAAAAGAAAATGACCCTGCAACAAGAAAGATAAACAAGAGCACATAACTATTGAAATACATCAAACCAAGAACCCAAAAGAGTAGGAGCCGGAGGAGTAATTCGTTGAGCTCTAGAGAGTGGATCCAAATGGCAACGGAGGATGTTCTTTATCTCAAATACCAAAGCAGAGGCTGGTCTTGAGGAAGCAGTATGCAGTCTCGAGTTTCTTTCTCTCCAGATGGAATACATAGAAGCTTGGAAGGCAAGTCTAAGAATCAAAGCTATGTTTTTGTCATGACAAGGATTCTTAAGCCATCTAACTCCATCTTCAAACAGGTAAGATGGAAAAACATGTGCCTTCCTCGTAAAATACTGCCACACTTCCGCAGCATATGAGCAGTCAAAGAAAAGGTGTTGCCTCGACTCATTTTGAGAATTACAGAGAAGGCAGACGGAAGGAACATTCAGACCCCAACGAATTTATTCTGGTTGTTTACGGAATTTTATTCAAACAAGCCAACCAAAAAAAATATTCAGTATTCATGATCTTCTATTTTACTAAACCAAAGTATTTTTCTTTTGTACTCCTATTTCACAAAAAGTGTTATTTTAAAATTTTAATTTTGTTTCACAAAAAGTGTCATTCTACATTTTTAATGTGATTTTTACACTAAATTTTCTTATTTATCCTTAAGTCAAGCTATTTTCATTGAATTTAAATCATTAATTACTTATTAAATAAGAGCATAACATACTGATATGGTGATACATATATATGATTGATAACCAAACCATTTTCTAAAAGATAAAAAAATCAATTATTGTTCTGTTTTGTAATAAAACTTGTCAACAACCTACTTTTACGTTAGCAGACTTTGAGTTATATATATATATATATATATATATATATATATATATATATATATATATATAATTTATTTGATAAGCCTTGAGTTACGTTATCTACAAATTACATATTAATAGGGTACACACCTCTAACCAGTGGAGAATTGAAAAGGAAAATAGGACATTTGTATACTATTTAAGGGAAGTACTGACTATGGTATAAAGAAGGAAGTGTGTACTTGAATAAGTTGTCGAGTTATGTGAAGTCGATATCATATTTACACTTTTACATATCTAATTTAATAACTCACATTTTAACCAATAGAAAGTACGAGTACATTATTTTTTCTTTTTCTTTTAGCTTAATATTGTCCACTACTGTTCATGTTTTATTCGGATGATTTTCTCTAGAATGCAATCGTATATCCTTTTTTTCTTCAACACTATTGTCTCATCTGTTGTATATTGCAATGCTGCGGTTTCTCTGAGTATAGATAGCAGTGCAAAATAGAATTGTACTTTATTAAACAAAAAATGGTTTAGACTATCTTCTTGACCAAAAATAAAAGAAAATTAACTATATATAGTCTATAGTCTATACTATAGTGCAATTACAATTCAAAATCAATGGGAAATAAGTAGATTGGTTAATCTTTTTCTTTTAAAAAATAAATAAATTCGGATATGGATTCTAATATATATAGAAAAATACATATTTTTCTTGATACTAAGAGCATGTTTATCGCTGAACCCTGATGGGTTTCAGCCCATTTTTTATTATTTAAAAATTGAGATTGGGCTGAATTTGAGTTGATCCGTCTCACTGAAGTGAGTCTGCTGATACGGTTCATCTCACTAGGTGTCATATTCTGATTGGGGGAGAAAAAAATTATCAGGGGAAATTAAAAAAAAACATTTCAAGTTTCTCGAAGCATCTTCTTTCCTCTCCTCCTTTCTCTCTCTCTGGCGAAGAAGACGAGGACATCATAATCGAAGCGATTCCGATCGATTCGGTGGTTTAATCCGGTCGATTCCAGCAGAATCGAAGCTTTTTCGAAGAATCTGGTGGTTTAATCCGTGGCCGTATCGCCGCCAGGGAGAACAGTTGAGTCTCCGCCGGTTGGTAACCGAAAAAAAGTTGGGATTTGTCTCGTTAGCCCATGTAGAAAGGTAACTTCTTTCTTTCTTCTCCTTCTCTCATCGATTTATCTAATTTGGAACAATTTCTCGACTTGACTGGGATTTGAAATGGTCTTGGTTTTGCAGATTTTAACGGCTCTAATAAGATTCATGTTCCATATACATGGTAGATGCCTCAGGTGAATCTTCTATTAGCTCTCTTGTGATTACAAAAATGGTTTATAACAGTCCTTTGGTTTCTGAGAATTTCGATAGGTTTGGATTGCTTTGATTCATTTCTAGTGTATTGAGTGATAAAGTTCTTATCATTTTGCTAAAGAGGTGTTGAATTTCACAGTTTAGGGGATTGTTCATTTGAAAATATATAACTGTGGTATGAACCAAATGCAATGACAATAAAGGATCTCAAATCCGCAGTGATGATATGAAACTGAGAAGTAGGTTAGGCTGGAGAATCATCAGTTTATGATCCTATATGGTATCAATTTTGTTCATAAGTTTATTAACTCTGCTTTTACAGGGTGGTGCTGAAAAGGGAGAAGATTTGAGAAACGCTGCCTTTAGAGAACTAAGAGACGAGTGGCTTTGCTACAATTAAGAAAGGCTTTGCTGCTTGTTAAGAGGTATCAGCTCTTCTTTCTTTATTTTTTTCACTTGTTATTCTTACTTGATCCGCTTACATTGGTGCTTGTGTTTCTGTGTTTACAGTATATTAGAAATAGCTACATAACTTGGTTGAATTCTCTGCATATAGATAGTAGTAATGTGTTTGTTTAACTCTAATAGCTAAATAGCAAAATAGCAATCAATTACTTGCTAGTCTCATAAACTGTTACAAAACTGAAGTTAACTAAACTAAGTAACAAAACTGAAGCAAATTAAACTTAGTTACAAAACATATGAAAACTTAGTGAAGAAAAGTAAATATAAGTTACAAATCATAAGTAAATATAAATATCTGTGGATTTGGTATTCATGGTGATGGAGACATATAAACAGTTACTAATACAAATCATAACTTCACATTTAGGGCAGTGACTTAAATTTGCTAACCTAACCCGAATTGAAGTCATATTATAGGTTGGTCATTTATTGTTCATGTTTGGTTAATAAGTACACACTTCATTAACAACACACAAATTAGATCTTCCTTTTGCTTTCTTTCTCTTAAACCGATTAGATCTCTTTTGCTTTCTTTCTCTTAAACTGATTAGGTTCTAGTAAACAAATGAATATGGATTTTACCATTCCATTGAGCTCCTCTCCAAATTTCACTGATCTATTGAACAGCCAACCCGAGAGCAACACTCCACAACCCTCTTACCAACCACAGTCACATTTACCCACCAAGAGATCAGCACCTATAAGATGGAGTATCCCTGAAGAGAAAGTGCTTGTTGGTGCTTGGTTGAACACATCGAAAGATGCTGTTGTTGGAAATGAGCAGAAGGGAGGGGCCTTTTGGCAGCGTGTAGCAGCACTGTATGCTGCTAGTCCTGTTGTGGCTAAGCTGCCAAAGAGAGAACCCAACACATGTAAGCAAAAATGGCAGAAACTCAATGAGAGTGTCAGTAAGTTTGCTGGCTGCTTTGAGTATGCCCAAAGGAATAAAAGGAGTGGCCAGAATGAAGATAATGTCATGGAGATGGCTTACCAACTCTACTTCCAGGATCATCAAATGAAGTTCACCCTGGAACATGCTTGGAGACTGCTCAGGCATGACCAGAAATGATGTGAGTTGTTTGAAAAAACAACTCAGAGTTCCAAAAGAGCTAAGGTCGGTGATGGGATGAACTTTTCTTCTAGCTCCAAGACTAGTAACCCTGTGGAAGAAGAACCAGAACAGAGACCTTCAGGTGTCAAGGCGGCTAAGGCCAAAGAGAGAAAGAGAGAAAATGGGAAGAGTGAAGAAACAGATGGAAGAAGCTTGAAGGTGCTAGAGGAGGTTTGGGTGATTAAGAAAGAGGATTTGAATGTGAAGCAAAGACTATCAAGGGAGAAAATACTTGATAGTCTTCTTCTCAAAACTGAGCCATTGACAGAAGGAGAATTGATGCTTAAGGACAAGCTAATCACTCAAATGTGCAATGAAATAGGTTGTTATTATTCTGGTTTTGCTTGTGCTTAGTTGATTTGATTCTGGTTTTGCTTCTGTTTGGTTGATTTGATTCTGGTTTTGCTTCTGCTTTAGTTGATGTATATGATTCTGATTCTGTTTCTCGTGATGCAGGTGGAAGTGGATGATTGTGGCTGTAGTTTACAAGCATCAGAAGTTGTGGTCACAAGCCTCGGATTACTATGTTTACTTTTGCTTGTGGAAACATCACAAGCCTCGGTTCTGTTTTTGTTTTCTAGCATCAAAAAGTCTGTTGGTTTTTTGTGTAATTGGTTGTCAAATTATGAACTTGGATATGTGGATGTAAAATGATGAACTTTGTTATGTGGTTGTAAAATGATGAACTTTTTTATGTGGTTGCAAAATTATTCAAACTTATTATGTGGACAAGATTTTACTTTGTGTTTCTTTATAAAACCGAAGACGTTCTTCTCTCAATTTACCACATCAATTTTAGTCTTCTCTCTTTCATATCTCTCTCTTTCTCATTACCAAATTTCTTTTACAAAGCAAACAAAATGTCGTATCATCATCCTCACACTTCTATAAGTGTTGATAATTTTGATCAAATTCTAGAGGAAACTTTTGATGAAGAAATTGAAAAGATTTATGAAGATTGTGTAGATAATCACACTCACCAACAAGCGGCCAAAAAAGAAAGAAAAAACGATTACATATAGAAAGAGGACACGAGGAAGGCCATATCCAATTATGGAATGATTACTTTAGTGATCATCCTGTTTACCCCGATGGTAAATTTCGCCGACGTTTTCGAATGAACAAGCCATTGTTCATGCATATTGTTCAGCGATTCTCCAATGAAGTTCCATACTTTCAACAGAAAGTAGATGCTACCGGAAGGTTGGGATTGTCTGCCCTACAAAAATGTACAGCCGCAATTAGGATGATGGCGTATGGTCTTGCAGCTGATGCGATGGATGAATACCTCCGCATCGGTGCAACCACTGCAAATAAATGTTTAGAACATTTTGTCAATGGAATTATATATTTGTTCGGAGATGAGTACCTGCGACGGCCTACAGCAGAAGACCTCCAACGACTACTAAATATTGGAGAGATTCGGGGATTTCCGGGGATGATAGGAAGCATTGACTGTATGCACTGGGAGTGGAAGAATTGTCCCACGGCTTGGAAAGGGCAATATTCACGTGGACATGGAAAACCTACAATTGTTTTAGAGGCTGTTGCTTCACAAGACCTCTGGATTTGGCACGCATTTTTTGGACCCCCAGGTACTTTTAACGATATCAATGTTCTAGACCGCTCACCTGTTTTTGATGATATATTAGAAGGTCGAGCTCCAAAGGTTAATAAGTACTATGTCAATGGTCGCCAATACCATATGGCTTACTATCTA